TCAATTTTGGCCCAAATCGTAAATAAGAAGCCCAAGAGCCCATATGATCGAGCCCTGCGCCAATCTCTCCCGAGCTAGGACGATGATTTGACAATTGATACCTTTTGCTGATCTCGCTCAGAGTGTGAACAAGAACAAATAAAACAACCTTCAAACCGGCCTCATCATCAAATCCAAAATAAAGGTCGAGTCATCAAAAGTCAGATTTTTGCATGGCGACACGCGTCGTGCACCTAGCTCCTTAGGTGGCACTCGACCATCATTGTTTCCCCGCTTAATTTATGAATAAATATAACATTAAATGCTTCATAGAAGCATACGAGAAAAATAAGAAAAATAGTGAAAAAATCACTCTTTCAAATCTATAGCCCCACACACACACACATTTCCCTCTTAATTTTATGTTATGGTCGATCTCTTCACTATGTTTGGCTATCTCTCTTTATTATCATAAATCCTTATTTTCATTCTTAAACTTTGTTCAAATATAAGTAATTTAGTTTGGTAACAGTATGTTATCAACACATAATAAGAAAAATGGAAAAGAAAAGAAGCAGACAACAATATGAAATTAAACAGGTAAAACATTATAGTTAAGATTATCATGCGTTTCAGAAAAAAAATTACATTTCATATATTTAATCTAATTTACAAATAAATATTCTTTGAGGCCTCATTTACTTGAAGGGAAGAAATAGGATGTAATAGAATAGTTAAATCCCATGAGTTAACTTTTGTCCCATAAGGCAGTTTTACTAAATTTTTAATTATTTAGACATTTAACGGTATAATGGACATTATAAATGTGACTAGTGCTCGATCCTGTGCATTTGCACAATTGTAAATAAAATATTGTGAGTTATTTGTATTCATATAATGATTAATTTTTCTTCGTGAATGTAGTGTATATTTTGGTACGCCTTTTTTTGTGAATTATTTATTATTTATTTAGGAAAAATACTCCTTTTATTTTTGAAAAATTAATTTAAATGTAAACACAATAATAACATTTAATTACATTATACGATCAACACATTATATGGTCAACTGTTAGTAATTAAAAGTTTAAAATGATTTTTGTAATTTTGAAGTGATTAGTATTGATTATTTAATGATTAAATGAAAGACTAAATAAATCAAAAGTAATAGTTTTTGGAGGGAAAATGGTTAAATTGTCACATAGGTAAAATTAAATATGTTTTATTAAATGCTATTAGCTAGTAATTATATATATATATATATATATATATATATATATATACATATATATTGGACAAAAAGGTCATTGTTGTATTGGGATAAAAATATTCCACCCTAAAGATGTGATAGAATTATCCTGACAGTCATGGGTACATGCATGTGTCCACCTGCCACATACATGACACATAAGATTTTTCTCAATCATGATCTCTACTAGTACACACCGAATAAGGTTGGTTAAAGAATGTTATCTCATCATATCCTGCTATGTAAAAGAGGCCTGAGTGAATAATCTATAATCATATTTTTTAATTAATATTTTGAAATCTAACAAAATTCTAAATTAGTTAGAAATTGAATAATTAATTTTAAATTTTTTAAAAATTTAATCTCGAATTATTGATATCACATCATTAAAAGTATAAATAAAGTAATTGACCGGAAATTTTCAGAAAGTTTAATCGATAGAATTATGTCTAAAATAAAAATAAAAGTCCCACCACGAATGGTAAATAAAAAAGTATCTAAAGAAATATATATATATATATGTATATATATATATATATATATAAACTGTATTTAATTACAATCAATTATTTTCTCGTAAAAAAATATTGTTACAATAAGAAATATTTAGTATGAATATTCCTAAAGATTTTTTATTTAGTAACAACATTTTTTTTACGAGAAAATAATTGATTGTAATTTAGTAACAATATTTTTTTATGAGAAAATAATTGATTGTAATTAAATACAGTTTATATATATTTATATAGATTTTTATATATTTATAATAAATATTAATTTAAAATAAGTGAATATATGGGGCCTATAAAAAATAAGTTTATGAGATTTGTTATTATTAAAGATTTAAGTTTATGAGACTTCTTGTTATTGAAGATTTGTGATATTGGAATAACGCAGAGTCTGAATGACGGATGATTGTTTATGAATCTAACTAAAAAAAATCAAACAAAACACAATTTTAACCTAAACCTACTATCTTCAATATTATAAATGTAATTAAATAATATCAACCAATCATTCTTACACATCACATCAACTTTAATTCACTATTCATCAACTGACATAATTTTAACTAACTATCACTTTTAATCATTTTTCTCATACTTTACATCAAATCAACTTAAATTATTTTATTTAAAATATTATTTTAATATATCTACTAACAACTAATCGTACCCCTTTTTTTTCAAAATTAACTATAGTTAAAAAAACAAACTAAATAAAAACTAATTGAATCCATAAACAATCACTACCTAATTCACTTGGAAATTGAAAATTGAGGGATATGCGGTTTTATTATTAAAAGATGTTCAAAATGATTGATTTTCAAATTAAAAAATTGAGTTGGAAAATTGTGTATGAAGTGTGGTGAAAATGTGAATTGAATGATATAGTATTGTTTCTGGGCGGGTGGAAAATGCACCCATTTGCTAAAGAATAAATGACGCCTCTTATCCCTTTAGAATTTTTATTTATATTATTACTTCTAATAATAATTAAGACAAATTGAATCCTTTTGTTTTCAATATTACTCCTTTTCTTTTTTGCGGTTCTTTTCTTCCTTCCGTTTTCTGTTCTGCTTTAAACGATTTTTTAATTATTAAATAGGGCCTACCACGATGTCATTTTCACAGAGGCAACTTCATCGAAATCGAAATTCAGATTTAAGAAAAAGTAAACACCCAAACTATAATCATCCCTAAATTCCCCAAGCCAACCACAATCTCCGACAGAGAGCTCGGCCATGGAACCTCGCCACCATCGTGACAACGTTGCCACCTACGACTCTCCCCACCTGATCTCCTCCATGTCGATATACACCGCCGAACCCCGATTGTATCGCCCGCTCCTTGGACTTCAATCCCTAAGTGCGAATTAGGGTTCCGATTGAGGAACACTGCCGCCCTCACGGAGTTTAGACATCGAAATCCTTGAAGTAGAAGTTCTGCAGCCGTCGGACCTTTGACATCGTTTTACTGCTTAATCGATTTTTGGGTGCGTATTTGCTTCACTTTTTTTGTTCTTTTTTTTAATTTTTTTTTATTCTCTTGTCCATGATTCGTATTTTTGTGGTTCTTTTTTTTTTGGGTGCGTATGTAGTTCTCCTGTAATGGTTTCTCTCTTGCTTTGGAATTTGAAAAAATTAAGTGAATAGTGGGAGAAGTTCAGGGTGGGTGTAGTCTTCATGTCATAACCACTGTTTATTTGAAAAATATTGTCTCGGACTTGCAATTTTTAAATATCTTCAAATGAATTTTTTTTCTGAATTATTATGTTGTTTTCATATTGCTTAACAAGTGTTTTTATGTTGTTTTCATGTTGTTCAACAGTAGTTATGTTATTGTTTTGTTGTTTTCATATTGTTTTTTTGTAAAGTTATTGTTATTGAGTTCTTCGTATTCATATATTTTTTCTTGTGTGACTATAATTTATCTATATATATTCTATTTATTATTATTTTTAAATTTAACTTAATAAATATTTCTATTGCTTTTAGTTAATTTAATTTTTATTTATGTATATTAACCAATTGATTAATATTTTTTTGTTAATTTTATTGTTAGGCTTTTGAAGATAAAGAAGAAGAAGAAGAGAGAGGGAAGAAGAAGAAAAGAAAAAAAAA